GGTGCAATTAATTTAAGAAATTTGCACTTATAGCATCAATCAGAAATTACTTCGATGGGTTATTTATATCCTTTTGTTACTCTACTTGTAACTTCGTTGATTCCCCGCATATGACCAAAAGATTCACTCGGAGCTTTCAAAGTGGAATCATTGCTACCGATTAGCACTGCAACCTGAAGTGGCTAAAGCTAGAGGTTGCAATACACTGAACTTGGACTCCTGCCTTTTGATTCTACCCACCGCATCCTAAAACTAGTGCCCATGAAAAATGGGAGAACCCAAACATTTGATTAGGCGTTTTTCCGGTCAGTATTCAAACAGACCCATATCCCTTGGCTTTTTGGATGGGTTTCTATACGCGCATGGGTTGGAAAGTTGAGTCTTTTGTAATATATTTAACGCTGCTAGAAAGTTTGATCATTTTATTTTATTTATGTTTTGTTAGAGTATCTTTGTAATGTTTGGGTCATGTTGTAGGGTCCCACCCTACCCCCTTTCTGATGTTTGTCCCCCCATGCAGGTTCCAACTACCGTAGAGGAATTGTGTAAGGGCGGTTCTGAGTGCAAGTGGTGTGCACTGCCGTGGTAGCTTCTAGCCTTACACTCACTCAGATCAGAATTTAATTTATGTCTGCTGACTAACACTATGGAAGTGTATTTGGCTGATGCGTTTATCACCCAACAAGACTAGCCCACCCCACCAGGATCAGGTAACCAAAATATACCATTTAAAATAGACTCCTAATGAAAGGATGCTCTTTGCCCGTAATCCCATACTTCTATTGCGTTCCTATTTTGATGACAAATTATAAATTCTCATCTGCTCTGCTTCGGAAGTGAGCTGAACCTGAGCTGCTCGAAGCAACTCAAATGCTGTGGTTACCGACTTTCTTAGTATGATTAGCCATCAATTTAAAGTGAGCATGTAGATTTGGAGCACAATTTCGGCTGCATGGAGCATGCAAGTAGTACACGCAGTAGGCCACGTTTTGATGACAAGGAGACTACATCCATAGGCACAACCCATTCACATGCGTCTATTCGCATGTCAATGATTCCTTTTAATCTGCGCTAAGCCATACAGAGCGATCATGAGCAATGGAATGGAGGATGTTCGACATTTCCGAATGGTTAAGCTGAGATTATGTGAGCTGCAGGCCGAGTACTGGTGGGACAGACTTCACATTTTTCTTTTAAGACAATTGTGATCGAGAAATTCCCGATGATTTTCAAGATATTATGGAGATTTTAAATTTCAGTGTCGATCGTTTTGTCCACGTGCCGGAAGCTTTTCGATGCACTGGTTTATATCGATCTAGACGTTCATGACTCATAACGGTCTACTGTAGATCGACAGCGAAGGCTGCTCTACACTTTTTACTGACACTTCAGTGTACCGTAGACATGCTAAGGCTGGATTCTGAAGAGGCTCACAAGACACCACAGTAGTACAACTTACAGTACTCTCATTCCCACATTAGAATCAGTAACAGGGTTTCAAATCCAGTGGGTGTAGTACATGCGTCTGAAAGTAGAGACGCATGTACTGAACAAGACGATTATAATATGTATTTTTTACCAGAAGTTGCATTGTTGTACTCCCTGTGCCTGGAGGCAAGGCACGCTACCTCAGAAATATCTGACACATGCTGTACATATGCAACTGGTAAAGTAATCTCTAACCTCAGGACAGTACTTACTGCAGCCCATGGTTCGAGTCCATTCGATTGTGTCACGTCGACCAGACTTAGAGATTTTTTCTAAGTCATGTCTTCGGGTGGAGAGTCCAGAAATAACATAAGTAAGGCGGTAAACACTCCCGATTTCTGTTGTGGAAGTCAAAACACCACGCGAACTGAGTGGCATCTAGAAGCTCTACATTCATATGACGTGACATGATGCGCATCCCGTTTTCCATGCAGCAAAATCTTGGAGGGCAGACATTCCAGGAAGGAAGTGGTAGATGAAAGGCGAGAGTTCGATTCAACTGTTAGGTCAATGTAGTTGCAGTCAAGAGTCTCGTTTGTTCCTGATGCGCGTACAAAGTGGCGTCAAGGAAGGAAGCGAGCAAGGATAGAGTATGCACATCTCATCTCGTCGACGTGTCTTGCTTGAAGTACTGCATAAGAACCTTCGATGGAATACAACGAGCCGACTTGACCTTGACTCCTGCAGCCAGGAAAGAATGTTCGAGAGATCCCATTCTTGCTCCACTGGATGCGATCGACTTTACGTTAAGAAGGTAGATAACTTTCTGTAGATATTCAATCTAAATCGTCATCTCCCGAGAACCCAACCTTTGGTTGGGTAAAAAGGTGTACCGAACATACTGTATGGAGTTTGCTGGTCCACAGCCCCATGCAATCATAGTCCCCTTAGGTCCAGGTTCCAGTTGGTGGACCCCGAAGCATCTTCCAACTTTCAGGTCTGTCACATCCACCACAACTGTCGATTGAACTAGGCATGGAGGCAAGTGCCCTGCAGCAAGTGTAACATTCGTAGGAATATGTCCCGACTTTAGCCCACAAGAGTTTATGACAACTCTTGGCCTATAGAAATACGTTCTTGCCCTGCAGGAAAATTTTAACGTCTAAACGAGCTTTCCGCTTCGCTTATGCATCTCCAGATCTCTCTTTATGTCAGAGTTATCTTCTCGTGCAATCCGTTATGAACTGTAGAGAAATCTGTAGTTTACCCCGATCTGCGGCTGTTATATGAATGATAGAATATCAAAATATTTCCCCGCATTATATTTTAGGAATATGGAGGAGTCGCTCCCTATCCATCCACAGCAGTAGCTAACAGTTTTGCTATTTGCAGCAAAGAATTTGATGGATTCTCTCAGCTCAGTTGATGATCTGTTCTGCTAAAAAACTCTGAAGATCGATCCGCGGACCTAGGCAGATGCTTTCGGAATATACGTAGCTTTAGTTATCATATCTTAATTTTAAGACGTGGCGAAACAGTAGATCAAATATGCTGACAAAGGCGACATCCTTGAGTCCCTGAGCTTGTAATGTCTTGTGGAGGTCTTAGATTGTCGATCTTCGCTGCATTTCCAGGCAATCTAAGATCGAAGTCTCGTCTGCGTTAGACATAGATATCGTCTTACTTTTCTTATGATTAATTTTCCAGATGCCATTTCATTTTGAGAACTCTTCCTTTGTGCATCTTCATCGATGAAATGAAGACAATCAAGTTTATTGTCAAATTGTGGAACTCTGAAGAGACTTTAACAAGGCTGGTGTAACTTGGGCCACTACAATGTCACATTTGCGTCATCAAGTGTGCTAGCGAGAGGCTTAGAACAAGGTTGTTGAACTAGACTAATTGCGTAGCAAGGCTGAATCAGATTAGGTCTAGCTGATGGTTTGTCAGGTCAGTATTTGGTCTGATGACCTTCTGATTTCAAAGCCAAAGTGACTGAACCTCTATCATCTTAAATACATCAGAAATCTTTTGCAAGCACCTGACGAGTGCGAATGTTTGAGTTGCTTTTGAAAAGGTTACTTTAGATCAGATGGAGATTTCGTGTAGCGGACACAGAAACATCGTGTCTTCATTGTCATAAATTCTCCGGAGTATTAGAGAGCTCATTCATGTATAAGTGAGTAAGGTAACACATACATCAATTAGATGTGACTTGTATGTGCAATCGGAGCCGGGTCAGTAGTCTGAGACTGTCATTGTACAGGTCACAGTGCAAGGGTCACAATTCTTGCTTTTAGTTTTGGACTATGAATCTCATTAACAACTGCACATTGTATATTCTCTTATTCCTCCGTAGAAGTTGTGAGCTGCATGAACGATCTACAACCCCTGTCATTTATAGTTGAACAACGTATCAGTTGCAGGTTAATACATATAATCCAGCTGCAGGTAGACAGGACATCATTAAGCATTTCCAACTCTTAAAGTCGGCAATCTGCAGCTGAGAAGGTACCTTCAGGCAGTCTTGCATACTCGACGTCAAACTTGTCGGTCTGGTCCGATTTCACATGCCGGAATCTCCTTCACAAAAATAGAGCATAAGGTTTAGGATTCGGCAAATCGAACGGAAGTTGTTTGTCGTGATCATTTGCGTTTATCAAAAACGTCGGAAAAGTTATGATCACTGTCAGCTACTGATCATCGATGTTTTGCGACAGCAAAGTTGATTAATTTTCTGTCGCAGTCACTTTGAAACGATGGCAACCAATAGAAAGGGGAACGTCCACGGCAGGTGAAATAAATTCCGTCACTTGATGCACATTTTTTCCTTAGAATTTTTTTGTTGAATCGTATACGAGGAATCAGATGAGAATCTTGGAACTGGCAAACAGCAAAAACCTGGTATTATGTTGTCAGAAAAGAGCAGATTAAGAACGTAAAGTTTCTTGTTTGATGGAGAGTTACTAGCATGGTGACATCTTCATCATCCGACAACCTTTGGGCTCACTGAATGAGTGTCACGGTCAAGTTCAATGAGATCTCAAGAGTCTGCCCACGCCCAACGCATGCTTTCTTCTTTTGCGTCCTAGAAATCGTGTGGAGTCAGAACATCTGTCAGAATCGGACACTATCTGACGAAATAGGAAAATCCATTTCTCCCTTACCACTGACATTCACTGCAAGCCTCATTATGACCTGGCGACATGCCTGTAGGGCTCAACAACCCTTTGTAACGTTCATGAAGAAGGAATAACCTCGAGCGCGAAGTATTCTGGTTCACGATAACAAAGGGCTGAGAGATGCAGTTTAGAGGTAGAGCTGTAATTTCTCAAGTGTCCAGCAGCAATGCTGGAACATCAACTGCACATGCATTATCTGACAATCATCGGAGGCTTTCTGAAAAAGATACTGAAGTCGATTATGGAAACACACTGCACACAGAAGAACGATTACCTTCAAAGGAATCAACCGACATTCTTCGGACACCTTGTCTTGGATGTTAAGTTTCGATTTGACATCATTCTGAAATCTATATAGCTTTCCATGGAGACTAAAGTCGTATTTTCCTCAAACTTCTGTCCTGCGCAATTTTTTTACCTCTCGTTGTGGTCTTGTAGTCAACACAACACTAAAATTTCAACAACGACCCCAGCATGAGCAAACGATCTTCGTGCTGGGCATTGAAGACCTGTTCAACCCATCTAGTTGTTGTTGCACGACCAGCTAAGCTACGACGTGCACTTCAGACCAGAAGGATGTAAATATCAACAGATGCGCGTGAGTTTCACGGTCTTCAGCCGACCAAGAATGGGACAGAAAGGTACGGGCGGCGGCTTGTGTAGAACGATGGCGACAGACTTTTCATTAGTTAGCGGCGACTAATAAACGTGTCTTAAAATTCCTGATTTCTAGAAAGCGCGCTGCTATTAATTCGGACGATGCAGGTCAATTCGAACTCAAAATCTTAGACTTTCGAGGTTTTAGGAGGAGTTCAGTTGTCGTCGGATGCTTGCCGACCATTCGACGCATATGTCCTTCTAGATTGAATTAGGTCCAGTAGCTCTTGCAACCCTAGAGAAAGATGCTAGCGTTCGTGTGATTCATTCCTCCATGCCGACCTCGAACTCCCGCTTACTGAAAATGGTGAGCCTCCAGGCGAAGACAATTCGAACCGCTCCTGGACGAGGTTTCTTTTAGACGGACCCCGTGTTACTTCTTGAGACTTAAGCCGAGAAAAGAAACAGAGGTTTGTCACCGCTCTCCAATTTCAGAAGAAATTCGACTTAACGTTCGCTGCCAATATCAAGGGGAGCCGATTTGATGGAATCTGAAATGTATGTTTCATTCACCATTTTTCTGAGCGAAAGCGTGATCGATCCGTGCACGCATCGGCGAGTAGGGTGCGCACGCTCAAGCTGACAGGCATGCATTCAATCTCAATTTGCGAGTCGGAAGTGAATTTTACTGGTTTCAGGTCGTGATTCGGGGCTACTTGTTTCCGTATTCGGAGCCGAGCAGAGACATGGTGCGTACAACGAAGAATGCTTCACAAATCATTAATAATCATTTCACACGAAGAATTGAAATCGATTAGGGACAGAAATTTGTACTATTCTCCGTGACGGATTGGAAGTAAGAATATTATACCCAAGGATTGATTCAGCTCGAACACCCGAGCGTTTGAATCCACAATAGCTACCACCAGACTTTTTTAGACAATTTAGACTCACTATTTGTCCGTTGGGCATTTTGAAAGCAAAGAATATGATGTCAATTGACTCACGATCTCTGTCATCCGTTTGGGTCCTAAAGTGGAACCCATATTTCCTCGGACTATCAGTGAGAGTTCTGAGCTCCAAAATTGATCAACTGCCATGTCCACAAGTGCGTGGGACACAGTTCGTGTTTTACTCACAAATTGGTCAAATTCGGAAAATAATAAAACTTTGTGTCTTGGGAGCTTTCATACGTATCGAATAACAAGCGCAGTTTCAGAGTACGTCTGAGATGTGAAATAGGGGTTGATGTTAGGGCAGAGAGAGTCAATTTCATACATTCGACAGATACATATGCCTCCGTGGGATTTCTGTATATATATAGGTTTTCCGAACCTTAGTGGTGGTGGTGTTAGATCCCTGCATGTCCGGTTGCATGTAGATCAATATTTCAGTGTCATCTTGCTGCTGGAATCAGGATGCTTGATCTGGCAAGACTTTCTCCTAATATAAGGATGAAGAATTTTCGTCATGCTTATGTCATCCACTCCTGATATACCAGTCTGTTGCTATGCAATGTTCCTATGCAATTTTCTCTTTTGGAGTTTTCTCGTAATCTGCGAAGTTTAGTCCACTAGAATCTAGTAGTCTAAACTCCGCAGATCACGAGAATCCGTGATCTCTGTTAGAGAAGATCAAAAGCTTGATTGCAGCTGGATCTAGCTCTACTGATGCCCATCCAGTCAGAATAAGGGAAGGTGTCACATATATGCCTTGTAGTTAGATTCTTTTGTATCTCCCACCGGCTGCAGTGCAGCAGCACTTTTTCACCTTCCGTTGATATCTAAGAGGTTTGAATGTTCTCTTATTCTCTTGATGGCAAGGCTGGTTGTGCATCACGTTACATGTATTGAGACACACATTTTAGAAAAATGGCCTTATCTCCATGGCTGTTTATATGCGCCATCAGACTTGCTGTAGAATAAAACGCGACACTTATTTGAATACCTGCAGGTTGTCACGTCGAGATTTGATAGACGACGTGAAGTCAGCTTGTGATCTGAGTCTTCTGTATCAATCGTCCTGATTCCAAATGGGGAGAACTTTGGTCAACAAGGAGACAATGGACACGCCTCGACACCCGAGTCCTCATTCTCCCGTACCTGGACCTGCTATCTATCTCGATGCCAGAGACAAGGTAAGCTGAATACAAACAACAAGACAGTTGCAGCTCTCTCGAATCAGTAGCTACAGCTGAGATCATATGCTATCAGTTCGTCGCAGAGGTTGATATACGGTCAGAATAGTAGACTTCAGTTGTTGGCTTCTGTTGCACTCGAGCTTTTTACATGGCTTTTCTCCTGATCAGTAGAAAGTGTGAAGTGGTTTTCCTGGAAGAGCTCGGAATGTTTCATATCCGGATTGGTTGCAGGACTTGCCTTACGATGGAAACTTGAAACGTCCTCGGGGAGCTGAATCATCATATTTTGATCAACCTTTGGGCCTCAGAGAAGAAGGGGCATTGCTTTTGGCGGTTTTGACAGGAGTGCAGGGTAGTCCCTTGCAGAAGCTGGCTCCAGGGATGCCAGGTTTTAGCTTGCTGTATGGTGTGGGGAATCATGATGGTCCTGCTGAATCACCTCGCCATATGAAGGGTGGTACAACAAATAAGGGCCTCAAGCTGGAGCTGCGCATGGATGCACAAGCCGGCTTGAACGCCAACATTGCAGTAAAGAAACTTCAAAAATATAACAAAAATGTAGAGCCGGTGGATGAATGTGTTGACACTACCGATCTTGACGAACTAACTGCTGACAAAAACGATGGTGCAAGTGGAAACTGGTTATTTGAATCAGCAGAGGAGGAAGAGCAGTATAAATACAATCAGGACCTTGAAGCAAAAGCAGGGGCGGGAAGAGAAATAAGTCTCAAAGACTACATTGCACTTGTTAAAAAATCTGCAGGCAGACTTGGAGTGAGGACCCAAATGCTCCACGATCTTTCTCTAGGGGAAGATGTTGATCTGGGCGTTACAGATTTGCCAGCTGCTCCTCCTCCTCCTCCTCCTCCAAAACCTGGTGCAAGCCCTGATGAGAAGACGAAGGCTGCAAAGGAGCTCGTTGGTGCCATGTGTGCAACCAGTCTTGTTGTGAAGAAAGCACGGCGTCTGGTGCGTTGTTCCTTGCTGAGGGTGAAGGAAGTCCCTCCATCTTGTGTCAATCAGACATGCATATGTGAGATCGATCTTTCTCCACTCTTTACAGCAGCTCTCTTCTTCTTTAGCTTGGAAAAATGTCCCTAGTCATGAATGACTATCTTATTAAGTTCCTTGTTGATGTGTGGGTCGAGTTGATGTAAGTTGTCCTTGTCAACTCTACTTGCTGCTTTTCGAGAAATTCGAACTCACTGCTTTACAGTCTTGCAAAATTAAATAGCAATGTATAACGAGTTAATTCAAATTCCTTTGATATCTCATACATGTAATCTGTCAGAGAATACAGATATAGAGCTTAGTGACAATTGATGGAATTGAACTATCAACATACTACCGAGACTTTCTGTAACTTTCAGACGTTAATTTTGAAATATTCGCCACCTTGCAGGCTGGATTAATGCATACTGAACAGCAAACCCTTGATTTGCGTGACGTCTATGATTGGCTCCAGCATCTTGGTCAATACTAACCTCACATCGAGTCCACTTTCTATTCTCCTAGAATGTAGAGTCGGAATAGAAGGATAACGAGGTTAAGCCCTCTTCTATGTATAAGATACATTCTTACTCGTCTAGCCTTAAATCACCTGGATATTCCTGAAACTTATTGCATAGGAGTTTGTGTTTCAAGAAGCTTCACATTTGTTTGTAAGTTTTGATGACTCTAGTGACGAATCGCCAGCCTCTGCTCTCACGCATTCCAATGCTCTTGCTTATATGTAAGATCTACACTTTAAACATTTTCACCTCATTGAATTCACTTATTCAACAACGAAAAAAATCTTCCAGGAACTATTGCACCACCGGAAAACAGAAAAGCAGATACAACAAAAGCAGATGGTTCGAGCGCAGCTGGGGGTAAGGCTGAGGAACAGAAAGGTGACTGGAGGCTACCTTCTTCTCCAGCCATGGCTCTTCTGTACGCTCAGGAGGACTTGCGTCAACGTTTGGCTCATCTTTATCAAGAAAAGGTTAGATGTTTGATTTTGATCCCCCTGTCATGCTCTTCAAATTTTCTCATCCGAAACTTATCAGACTTGCAATTGAATAATGTTACTATATCTCCGCACACTGTTTACCAGAACACTTTGGAGAAGCGCAAGCTGCAACTAAGTGCTGCTAAAAGACTTGTGGGAAAAGTCGGCGACGCAGAGGTACACCAACACAGGGCTTTCTCCAATTGATGTATAAACTTCATGCTTCTCTGTCTAACGTTTTAGCATGGAATACTGTACTAGGAGGATTTTCAAGAAAATCTTTATTGCCTAATCGTTCCTCGAGAATAATAAGGAAGCTGAATATTCAATTGAACTCCGATCAGTAAGGTCGTTGATCAAGCCTGATCATAATCACAACAGAGTGGGAGGCAATTGGTCAAGTTGTTTTAGTTTTAGAATCACGTTTCTTGTTGTGAGTCAGACCCAACTCATGTGAACGAACGAACAGAGTTTTCACTGATCTAAATGTCTCCCTGCAGGAAGCTAAACTTGTGAATTACATCCACGGTTTGCAGACCTTGGTTGGTATCTTCAATGTCATATGAATTTGGATGGAAAGTTTCCAATTACGTTTCACGATAATCATGTGATAAAGGAAATCCTTGTAGATCAGAAGTTGTTCCGACTTTATCCAGGCACTAACGACCGGAAAATTTGTGTAGTGACGTTTTAGAAATTTGAAACTCATTTTTTAACTTACAACGCCTATTCTATAGGAAAGAATATTAGTGTCCAAGTAGGGAAAGAAGCTCCAGCTTACAAGTATTCAAATCGATTTGTGGCACCGATTAAACGGGAATAGGTATCACAAACAAATTGTAATATACAGATGTTAAAATTAGAAAGGATTCAAATGAGGCACACTGAATGAGGCACAGCTGTAGTTCCAGTTCTAGAAGAAAACATATTTGAATTGATATGAGAGTTAATCTTGAAGATCATTTCATGTTAATGAGTGTAAGTTTACTCAGATTATATCATTATCTTTTGCAGGAAGAAGGTTATGAAACTCTTGGAGGAAAGATCTCAGACAACCTCGATGATGCACAACATCTGGTGACCTCACCTTTCTCGTTAATCGCACTTGGTTGCAAACCAGGAGGAATACAATTTATCCGCATATAGATCTGTCGAACCTAATCCATCTGTAGAATCTTGTTAGAGTATACAACAAGGTGATTTACAAGGCGTCATGTCATAGGCGCGATCATGAACGTCTGAGAAACTGTAAGGCCAGAGACTTCTCAAATAGCTCGAAATGCGTACACCTCGATACTGAATTTGAACCATCTGCGTTGTGCTATTCAGGACAAGCGGTTTCAAGCACTGACAGAAGAAGGTCAGTCAAATCAGAATCCCTCAACCTGCAGTTATTTCGGATCTCTGCATTTAACTGTTTATGTATGTGCACAAAAAAGGACGACTTAAACGAGCATCCACGCACTGAGGAATGAGGATTGTTCACTGGACACGCTTTTGCAGCCAAAGATGATGATAAGGAAAGTCAAGGAAAGGGAAAGAAGAAGGGGAAGAAAGGGAAGAAAGGGAAGAAGGGTAAGAAAGGAAAGAAAGGAGATGGTGGTGACAATGAGACGAAGGGCGATGCTAGTGGCCCCAGTGATGTGAGTGAGTCCGAAGCAGAGGTGAAGAGTGAAAGTGAAGGAAGTGAAGGAGAGGATAAAGGAAAGAAGAAGAAAAAAAAAGGAGCAGCTGCGGAAGGTGTAGAGAAGGCCATTGTCACAGAGAATAAAGGAACTTCTCCTCTACCTTCGTCTCCACGAGATATTCTAAATACTGTCTCCACTAAAGACCAATATTCACAGACAGATGATGCGGCTCTTTTCTCACTCGTAAGTTTCTTAGATTATATTCAATATCTGATTTTTCCACCTTTTCTCGGTTGTCCTAAAAACATGGATCTGAAGTAGTTTTTCAACGCAGTTTCTAAATAGTCATTCTCTTTAAGCATTCTGAAGTCCCATTTTCGATGTTACTACGATTCTGACTGACACTCTTCCACCAACTGAGAGTCGGTAAGAGTTGGTGACCGAGTTTAGATCACACAATTGATGAAACAGCAGACTCGACGAAGCAAAACTGTGCTTTAAACTGTGATTGAAATCTGAAGTACCACTTCGTAGTTCTATCTCAGTTTTAATACCGACTTCTCAATTATGCCATTTGCTTCGTCTTTAAACATGATCAGATGGAGAAAATGTTCAACGATATGGCCGATGAGGGTCCGATAGGACCAGAGGATGAAGCGACGGAACTGAGACGACTACGTAGAGAAGTGGTAGGCAACTGAAAGTTGCTGAGCGCTTCGTTTCTTCTGTTCTTGAACGAGAATATATACAAATATATGACTGTGGTTAAACTGGGGCCAATCCTGTTTCTACGGTTTAAACCCCACAGCTTTCACTAACATCAGACGGACAAATTACGTTTTATCTTCGCTAATGGAGAAATTGAAAGGAGGGCCATTGTGTAGGCCAACAATTAACGGTGAAATTGACTTCCTCGTTATTGACCATGGCATTTGCAGAAAAAACTGAAAGTTCAATTACGATTCTGGCGATCTCGCAACTGGGTCGAACAACACCAACATCTGATGACTAGCAGCTCAACATCACCTTCTTTCAGCCTGCCTGTGGATGCTCCGAGTGAAGCTGGGTTTGCATTTTACTTCGAAAATGCGAGACATTCAATCCTGGATGGAAGGGCTGGTCATGGAAGTGCACCAACCAATCTGACCACCAGTCATGGCAGTCCGCAAGGGAAGTTCTCAGGTGGCCCTTCAAGTGCTCCAAGCACTTTGACAACCGCTGCCCGTCCAATGGCTCCAACTCCATACCCATCACAAGTGGAACATGTACGTCCAGCTCAGGCTCCCCATTTGCCAGCTGGGTTGCGATTAAGTCAAGTGGAAACTGCGCGACCGAGTAACCCACTGAATCTGAGATTGATGGCCAATGCTCCTCCTCGAGGATCTCGAGCATCACGGGGCTGGAGCGTGAGACCACAAGATCCTCCGCCTGTGTTCCCTCCAAACTCCTTGGTCATTTTTGGTCGCTCCTCAATGCTTCAAACTCCTCGTGAGTCTACACCCCAAGCCCCCAATACTGTAATGCCTCAAATTGGTAACATGTCACCAAGGAGGTCCGGAATGGGATTCCAAAAGGCCTAGAGCACCGACCCTTCCTCATCGTCAACTTCATGTAAATTGAATGGAGATGGTGACTTAGAGTTGTATTCTATCGAGTTTCTGGATTGTGCTTACGGCAGCTGTCTAGGAACTTGAACCAGTTTTGATTCCCTTGAGCCCTAGAGCAGAAGATCCATGTCAACAGAGTTGGAAAAACACTTCCAGGGCATAGTTTGATACTTAGAGAGGTCCTGGAATGAATCTCACAGAACTGATCATGGTCAAGTGCTGTTCATAACAGAAAGGTCCTTGATCGAGAAAATCGCTGCTTAGCTGTACAGAATATTTCACTTTCAGTGCCTAGTTTGACACTAAGAGAGGTCCTGAAATGAATCTCACAGTACATGTACTGATCATAGTCAAGTGCTGTCCATAATAGAGTAGAATCGCTGCTTAATTGTACAGAATAGTCCAGTTTCCGGCTGAAAACTCAAATTCCTGATATTTGAAATAGAATGGGGTTTGACAAGGCCCACAGTTTTGAATTCTGTCTCCCACCTCCCGATTATTCAAGACATGTGAAGGACTGAAGTTATCTCTTGAGCTGAGTGTCTTGCAGAGCCAGAGGACCAAGGTTTCTCCTTTCAACGTGCTTAACTCCTCCGTGCAGTCATCGTCATCTGACGAGACAGCTGAGCTTGGGCAATTTTGTCTCCAAAAGTGTACTGCACTGCACTCCTGACGAAAGTTTGTCCTTCTACCTATCCATTGCGTTCTTGTTGGTCTTCACGAGGTGGTGGTTTTTCCTAGTATTTCACAGTCAGCAACCTGTCACCGTCAAGATATTTCATCTTCTACCTCATCGATCGACATTCGGCCAACATCGTGAGCTAATTCTCAGGTCTCTTGGAGCTGTCAGAAGTCTTTCGGTCTTCAGAATGATATTCAGGTCTCAAGGTTTCAAGGTTTCAAGGTTATTCACTTTTGATACGACTTTCATAAAGCCCAAAAGTCTGCCCAGCGCTCCACTGGACTTTCACTTGTAACAGTTGCTGAACTGTTCCATCTGAAAGCTCTGTGCTCTGTGCTCTGTTTCAACTCCGATCGAATCTAATCTGCTCAACAACTGCAAACGTAAGTGTGATCTACATACAGGAAGACTGCTCGCCCCTCTTTCGTCTCGGGATGGGTTCGACTCCAAAGAAATCTACGTCGTATAGCTAAGTGGCTTAGCAGGTCGAAAGATTTCACCCAACTGGTCGTCCCCAATGATAATTGTAGTTTGAAGAAGTCTTTTGCTCCACAAGGACTCTACCCTGCACGTGATTTAAAGGTTGAAATGGTTACACTCTTTTCTCATCCGCAAAGGAGCTCGCACCAACATCTGCACTTTCCAGGGGACCTCTGTCGTGTCATCAGAACTGTTCCTAATGTCTGACTTGTGACAATCTGTCGGTTTCGTCGAGGCGTAAAAAATAATCTAGTTTCTATGCTTCCATACCGCGAGGACATGTGCTGCAAATGAAAAGTGCTCTCCAGAATTCTGCCATTCTGCTATTATGATTCAGATCTCGTCCTGGTAACTCTAACTGACTGAACCAGGTAGTAACTTGGCACTGCTACGTTGCTACTTGAGGGGTTTACAGGATGCCAGATTTCCTCAAACAGATTCTCCCGACTGTGGTCAGGGTCGAAACGAAGTTTCAAGTTTCTACCTGACTAAGTTCCTGATCTAAATACGCAGTTACTCTCCTTCAATGAGCCGGGCATGAGATGAGCCCGATTTTAGCTCATTCTTCGATTGGTCCTCTGAAGTTTTAGTCCTTACACATGCAGTTCCCGACATGACCTTATCTCCAACGTCGAGAGGTTGGTTGTACTGCTGATCTCAGTTGTAGACAAGGCTCACTTATATGGCCCGCTACGAGTTTCTGAACCAACTTCTGTACGCAATTTTAAGTCGGATTAAAAAGTGCATTTCGTAGATATCAACATCCAGATCAATGAATGAAGTTTGAGTGAAACAGATAAACTAACCGTCGAGAAACACGGTAGAAATGTAAACGAAAATGAATCGAAAATGACACTTGTATGTTAAATCTTGTGGACTGCTCATTTGGAATTCATCAAGATGCACGAGGGCTGTTGATTGACCTATGTAAGTGCGATCACGTTTTGCCTAAAATACGAAAATATATCTGTCAATCATGGAATATGCTACGAAACAGTATTTAATACAACTATTGAAATTACATACATCATATGTGCTAGAAGACTTTTGAATTATAATGCAAAACTTTGTAGATTTTGCTTGAATAAATACAGATTATTGATGAAAGATACAACAAATATAGCAACTTTTGGTAAGCTGTCATTATCCACACGTACTCTGTGCTCCCGGTTTGTTGTTACAGATAGTATGATCTTCATATGTACATGAGCTATTTGAATGGTTCATTCATCCTACATGTATATATACAGTGGAAGTAATATGATTTGTCTCCATAATCACATCATGAAACATTTTTCTTTTTGCCCACTATTTAGTGACTTAGAACTATAATCAATCATGATAAGGTAATCATAGTGTCATCATCCTCTCTTAGTTATGTAGTTACTTGTACTACGTGAACTTGTCTAGACTCTTGAAACGGAAAAGATGAAAGTTACTGATGAAATTATGTATCAAAGCTTTCCTACTCACATGAGTTGGTTTCAAGGAAGCCACATCTATATTTGTTCCACCCGTCTATATTTTTATTATTTAGATATGAGATTGTGGAATCACCTTGAAATGAATAGTATCCATTTGATAGATCATATTCATCTCATTTGGTAAATTTCGCTATGTGACTATGGACTGTATGTTTGGTACGACACAAGAAGTTGATATCTCACATTCACATGGAAGAAGTGCATGTGTGATTGGTATCTAAAACTTGCATTTTTTATCAACTTAAATAAAAAAGCCATGAAAACAGGGTTAGTTGGATTTATTTTAAAACTCAATATACTAAATAATTGTAAATAGCTCAATATTCATATCATATGTCAACACATGTTTCAATCTACACGTTATGCAGCTACGTATTGAAATTCTAAATTTTTCTAAAAGTAGTGGAAAAGATTACTTTTCATGAATAGATGTTTCAATCTACAGGTTATGCGGCAACGTTTATTGAAATTCTAGATATTTCTAAAAGTGATGGAAAATATTACTTATTATGGATAGATTGAAAATGTGTAACTCGAGAAAGAAGATTTTTTGTTCTCCTATTCCTATTTCAACTATTCTCCTAAAGAAAATTGTTTTCAATTTTAATGATTTACAACTTCTGATATTAAACATTTTTTATCCGACACAAAGATCAATTGTATAAACTTCTTCTTTAATTGTACGTAATATATCTGTCATGACTCTCATCATTCGTAACGTAGCAATAAACTTTCAAATTGTGTATGAACTGGATATGACGCTACTTTGAGGTTCATAGTGAACTCCATCTATTCATGATGAATTAATATAGTCAACACATTGACAATACCAGTCATAACGCAATGTTTCTCATATCAATGTACGAAATACACCAACACTTGAACGTGTGAGCCTGTATATTATACTCTTTCAGTAAGATTTGTATAATTTATCCTGTCACGATCAAAGTAATGTACCGAATTTGTTATAACTAACATGCATGATTATTTGGACTTCGTTCTGGAAAGTAAATTTAATTTAACCAGGAACCACAATAATGCGCTCATTATCTGTTTAATTCAAATGCATGATTATGTGTATAACATATAAGAGAGTACATACGGTCAAAAGAAAAAAATTACGACTCGCAATAGGCTTTCCGTACTCAAAGTGATGATGAATCTATCATGATTTGAATATCATCAATATATCGGCAATCAAATGTTCAACTAAATTAGTACAGTAAGAGAATCATAGTTTCTTACTTTTAATTTTATTCTAATGCTTCAAAGTGATTATTATATGTGAATTTTCATACGTTTTGGACTTAACCAAGAGTTGTTTGCAGTGAAGACTATCGAAAGATCTCTTATTTTTTATTATTATTGGATAAAAAACTCTTAGTGTCTTGACTTAAAAGCAGATGGAATGGTTTCTATCCATGTCGGTACTCCTATACATCTCTATATTCAGAGTTCCGAATAATATTATCTGATATTATATTGTCTTTTCCAAAAATACAATAAAATATATTTGTATTGTGTTTCAAGACAATACAATATATTGGCATTGTCAATCAAACAAAACAATATATTGCAATATCTAATATAAAAAATTAGACATATTGAGACTATCTATTCTGCTTCGCTTTCGGCGCGGCTAGGGTCATCTTCCTCACAATCGGTATTAACCACAATTGAGACCAATGCCATGTTCCAGAGTATGCGATTCTGTTTGAGTTATAGTAAGGCATCTAAAGTACGGGGCAGCAGTCGTAGTCATTTGTCCAAAAAGATTCGCTTGCTCATAGATAATAGCCACTCGACATGGTTTTATGTAGGTAGGAGAAATCTGATATCAATGTAGGCGGATCGGTTGGATTGTTGCATTCGCTGTCGCTTGAGTGCGCGTTCTACAAAAGAAAGTCTAGTATCATCATATTCTTCTCGCGCATCGGTATTTGACATCTTCAGACATAGAACAACATCGTTTTCATTATCTAGCATTTCGCGCTCCCTTCCCGATTGAATCTTTATGATGACATCTTCAAATGTGGGATTGTGAATGATATGAAAGATATGAATCGAAATGGAAATTTGGAAAACTGTGAATGAGAGATTGGATTAAGTTTGAGATTCCCAAATAGTGACATTCTCTCTTTGCAACGATTCGGTCACTGATTTGAAATCAGATAATGGGCCAGTATGGTGGCGAATGACGTTTTGTTGACCAGCAGTTGGAAGAAGTTCCGCTACATCGGGGTTGGTGTCGTCAATTTGAGGTCGCAGCTTTTCGTAGCGATCAAGCATTTTGATCACTTCGATCCAACGAGTTTTATTGCGTTTTACAGGACGCAATTAGCTGGTCATGCGCAACCGACCCACCTCTTCCAACGTTTACAACTTGGACATGAGATTGCTCACCAAATCAACCTCGCAATTTAGATATCGATCAATGTAGGCTTTGACTGCCAAGTTTAGACGATGGCTGCGACAGCCTGACAATGGGAATCCGAGTAGGTCTGCTGTTGCACAATTCGTACGGCAGTTGTCTCCAATCAAACAAATGAGATTGTTGACAGGCATATGCTACCAATCCAATGTTGCCAGAATAAAATCCCGATGGTTGGCTGCAGTAAATGTAGTTTTGTCTAGCAATGGCGCAAATGCCAACAGATGGATGTCAAAAGAGAACGCTGCCGTATCTTGGGCAAGAAGAGTGATGAATAAACCAACAAAATGAGTGAAGTCTTTCGTCCAGCCATCAAAGATCAAGTCATAGCGTGACGCAGCTGAAGTCAATGTTGTGATCTTTTTTTCAACAGCATCCACCAACATGAACATATACTTCTTCAAAGTTTTGAAGCAGATCTTCTGCAGGTTCTTGTTCTCTCTAGTACAACCTTTTTTGCAGAAACTTAGCTCGTGCTCGTCTATGACTATCCAATCCAGCCATTTGTATATACCGCGCGACTTTGAATCAATCATATATTCAAGCGTGATCTGCTCAACTGCATTATTGGAAGAATGTGATCTGCTTGAGTATGATTCCAGAGCATGCGTCGCGTAGATGTCAAGATAATCAGGATGCTTGCTCTTTACGTGGGTCATAAGGTTATTGTACCCATTTTTAATGACATCACATTTCCGTTCTACTCCACATTTACACTTCCAGATGTTCTCAGAAGAAGGAACCTTGCCGTAAAAGAGGCAACATATTGCCTTGGACGACGGGGTAACTGTTGGTCGAGTGTTGGTCTTGCTGCTCATGATCGGTACCCGTATCATTCTTAGTTCTAAAAATTCTCCTCACGTCGCATTGCATGAAGGTTTGGAGCTTGGGCAGGTATCGGAGCTTATCCAGTGCTCTACATCCTGAAACGCTATCGTAGATTGCACTCCTGACACGGTTCGAGCCAACGAAGCCCGTAGAGCCATACTCGAATCCACAAGCAGCCTCGAACCTCTTCCCCACTTCTCCGGCAACAACCCCCTTGACGCCCAAGGGAGGAATCTAAACTACCAGACAGCGAAGCCCAAGATCAATCGGGCAGCCGGCAATCCTCGACACCCAGCACTCGTCAGCATCAGCAGCAGCAGCTCCACCAAGCTTCATCGCGCCCAGCAGGATGGGCTCACACTCACACGCACCCGACCACGACGGCAGCAGCAGCAACGACACCTTCAATCCATCAACGCAATACGAGTTCTGGCAAAATTCAGAGCACTTTTCTCTATCTCTCTTATTCCAAGTCCCAATTCTCTCTCAAATCTGGCCCGGTCCCGGTCCCAGTTCCAGCTCCACTTTCTTGCAATCTAGCTTTCGCGTGTTGTTCGTTGCCAACACATCACCCCGACTCACGTTCGGTGAAGAAGCCTGTCTACCCCCACGCGTCGTAAGCTTCGCATTTCCAGGATCTTCGAAGAAGAAGAAGAAAAAGATGAAGAAGGAGAAGAACCAGTTTTTGTTCACATCGCCCTTGCAAACCTTTCCAGCAAAACGTGTAGGCCTCCTCCTGGTTCCTCTCATAACAGGTGGGCGCTCACCAATCTCTCCGCTAAAATCTCGATTTGACTATTTTCCGACCTCCTCGTGACACAAAATCTTCCTGTCCTCGCCCGCCTCGTTGTTTCGCTCACCCTCTCCCTCCGGCCGCTTTCTCCACGAGCTTCGTCCCTCCTCTCCTCTCCTCTCAAATCTCGCTATCTCGCTACCACAATCACTCTCTCTCACGCCCAAATTCAATTCATGTAAAGTTTGTGAAATGTATCGCTGACCTGCCCTACCCCTAAGTCTTCCCCCCTATCAAGACTACTTCAAACAAACAAAACTCGACCTCGCTCGCTCACACAGACGCCACATCACCTTTGTTTACTACCCAAGCAAACGCCACCTCATCTTTCTTCCACAAGCAACGGTACGTCCGATCAAACAAATCTCTCCTTTGAATGAACGGTCCAATCAGGCAAATCTCTAATCAGACAATAGTATTGATATTGTATTGAGCAACAATACAATATATTGCTATTGGAGACACGACCAATACAATATATTATAATATATTGTTAGATAAATATATTATTTCCATTCTCTATCTATACTCCCATAAATGATTTCAAAACATGTCTTTTTTTTTAATCATGTCATTTGAGTTCCAAGACAAACTATTTGGTATATGCTTTTATGTGTTTCTCTCAATTCGATAGTATAGAAAGTGCTTGTTTGTTGAGAACTTTTTGTCAATAATACGTAAGATCAAGCATGGTTGTGTTAGGCGACCATATATACGGTCGCCTGAATTGTCTGGTGATTAACCACCTAAATTAAGATGTGTGGGATTTGGCACCTACATTTTGCAACCAATGGGGAGTGAACACCTGTGCAAAATTGATGGATTTTTATTTTTTTTTTAATTAGTAATTTTTTTTTAAAAAAAATTTGTAGTAGACTAAATTAGCCTAAATTAAAATTCTAGAGTTTAAATTACCCTAGATTAAACTTTAAAAAATATTAAATCAAAATTAATTTAACATTTTTGAGTAGGCTAAATTAATTTAAATTACTTATTTTGATTAAACTAAATTAACGGTATTTAGTTAATTTAGACGAGTGAATATTATAACCATGCTTCACTTGTCATTCGATATTTTCTGGAGCGGGTACAGAGATTATTCCCATCAATCTTCTGAAGATCTGTCGTCATTAATTTCAGTAAAACGTAAGATACAGAAAGGCATTCTTGCTATTAAACGTTTGGTATCAAAGCCTCTCGACGTGCGCGTTGTGGATATGACTCCAAAAGTTTGAACCGATAATCGAAAAAATCCTCAAGTCTGCTACGATACCTGGATCTCAGTTTTAAATACTCTTATGGTAGGGAAACATTATTTTCTCCCGACGTGCATATTGGACAGCATCGTGAGTGAAATATCTTCGACAGCAAAGTTCCAGCCAGTAAAACTGTGAATCATTTTGACCGCCACGGTCAAAAAACACGTGCCTCAAGCAGCAGGCATTTTCTGAGAATTCAGAAAACATAATCATCGCCGACATTTATTCAATAGTTTCTAGAAAGGCTTATCGATTTCCACAACTACAATTGTGTACATGTAGGTGAACGATTGATCCGAAAGAATCGCCAATTATTATACAGAATATCCATGAAACTCATTCAAACAGTGTAGGCGTCAAATTTTCCACGATCTTTTCTACGCCTAGATACAATGGTACATCGCATACACATGCAAGAATAAACAATAGTATCTGTCAAGTAGATCCCCATTTAAAAACCGACCGATCCTTCGGAAGGTGAAGCAAACCAGTGCTTGTTTAAAATTTTATGTATTTTGTAGTTAGATGGATAAGGTCCACGGAAAAAAAAATACTTTTATTTCTTTTGGCAGTATTCCTTCCATTCCATAATGCATGATTCATGATTCATGAAACATGTCAGTGAGTCTTTTACCTCAACCTACACCTCGGCTCTACATGCTATATAGTGTCGCTGTTTCAAACATAACCACATCTAAAATCAACCCAAGAACTACTGGATTCCTTGCCAAGCTGAACTTCTGAACCAATGAGTAGAGGAGACATATTACAATTACACGAGAGACCACGGAAACGCACCGGAGAGAATTCTATTTCAAATGCATTAAAAGTATGTGCCAAAACTGCAGTCAAAAAGCTTGCAAACTTTTACAATCACGTTGGAATATCAGTCCTTATTCTATGTGCTACGTAGGCTGTAGGGCGAATATATAATAAGATGTTCTACGTAGGACGGGCTACACAAAGGTAATGGGGATGGACGACGACAAGGTATTGGAAAATCAGAAGAACAGATTTTAAGAATGGCGGTAAAAATATCGAAATTAAAAGCAGGATATGACACGTGTCTCCGTCTTGAACGAGTGTGTGTAAAGCACAGGCAGCGCAAATGGACGAATGGCGCGGCCACCAGCTCCACTGGAGGTGGGGACCAGCGCCAGCAGCCGCTGAGTCGCGGACGCTGCAGCAGGCGGAATACGGAAATCAGCGCAGCAGCGTTGCAGCCTGGCACATAAGAAGAACAAAGTCTCGAGATTCTTTCGTCTTTACGTTAAAGCACGAGCTAAGTCTTGATTTCCGACGCTACGCATGGCGGATTCTTGAACGCGCGAATGGATGATCGACAAGGAATTTGAGGACAGAGCGAGCGAGTGGGAGAGACGGAGGGAGGGCCAGCGAGTGAGTGGAGGAGAAGCGGAGGAAGCCAGGGACGCGAGAGGGTGCATGAGTATGTGATCGCCTGGGACGTGGAGTGCGGTCAGTGGGATGCATTGGATTGGCGGACGGCGCAGGCGGAGCAGTTGTGATTTTGAATAGCATCCTTTATTTCTGTTTCGGAGATTTATGATCGGTTCTGTTAAGCTCGATTAAGATCTTTTATCTCGAAGCTCTCTTTTTTCGTTCTACCTCGTTCTACCCTGTACACGGTTGAGTCGCGTGGAACTGAGAGCATTGACTTTTCACTGCAATATGGTCGACGTGAATGCTCTAGTGTAGAGTCGTTTCTGGCTCAGGACGCTGAAACTTTTAGGCGCTTCATTGAGAAGTCTTGGTGCCTTGTCGACTCTTTTTCTGGTTAATCTGTGTGAGTGTGGAAGACTTGTTGGTATTAGGAGGCGCTGATGAGCTTTACTCTTTCTGGATCATCAAGGGTTTCGAATGATCTGCCTGTTTAGAGGCGCGGAAGGCCTTGTAGGAGGCCTGAGGAAACTGCGCTTTTTATCGTCTTAGCGAAGGGTTTGAATCAAGGTGTTATTCTATGCGGTGTTGAGTCTGGAGTCTTGGCTGCGTACATTGTGGAGGTAAGCAGCTGAGATTTAGTTCTAGTCTTCACAAACATTTTTGCCCGGCATTTTGTAAGGAAGAGAATCTGCAGAGACTGTGAATCGATAGGGACTTTGTGCACTGAGGAGCAGCAATTGATGAGATTCTGAATGTGGGATAGGATTTTGCCTGCATTTGGAAGAGGCTTGGGCGCTGATGTGGCGGCCTCCCACCGAATGTACGTAAATTGGCAGCCTCACTTCGTTCCAGGTCAATGCTGATTCAAAACAGGGGAATTTGATGATTGCACTTTGTACAAGAATAAGAGGAAATTATATCTATTCCTTCAAAGTTGATCAAAAGCATAATGGCTGCTATGCAAGAGACGTTCTCTACAATCCGGCCTGGTCCTGGTGGAAGGTTTTGTGCGGAAAAGCCTCGTTCATGTTGTCTGCCAGGAGGCAGCTTCACTTGCGTCAGTGCAGCTGCGAATTCTTGCCTTCCTCTTCGTGAGGCGTGTCGGTTGAATGGGCTGCCCACTGTTCCGCTAAAGCGTAGAAAGAGCATAATGCTCACGCGAGCGTCAAGAGCAGAGAACGAAGCGCCTGCTAATGGTGAATACCGGGGCGAGCCAAAGAGGACTGCGGTAGTTTGGTTCAAACGTGACTTGCGAATTGATGATCATCCAGGCCTTGCGACGGCAAGCTCATATTCCCACGTCATTCCGCTCTTTGTGTATGACCCGGTGCTTCTTTCCGGTATATTTCCTCTTCCGTCGTTGTCTGGCTTTCCTGTAATGTTGCCGTTCTTCCACTTGGCCCATATCACAGCAGCTCATACATCATTTAAAATTCTACTGGCAGACACGTCTCGAACTTGCAACTCACAGCTTGCATAAGGAGATAACACAAAATGCTCCTATTAGAGCATATAATTAATGCTCCTAATAATGCAAACAGAATTTGAATATTAAATTTCTGTTTTGAACTATACATTAGTTCCTACCTCTTTTTGCAAGATTGATGTTGGCATTAATTGTAAGATTCGATCGTGCTGATAGCATTTGAAGTCCCTATGGACCTCAATTCAACTCGGGAACCAATTTGCCGTATCTGAGACTAAGAATTAACAACTTGAGATTTGTCTCTTGATTTGTTCTGTGCGTGAATTTGTAACATTTTTTGCCTTCCATTAGAGGTGTCATTCTAAGTGTTGATTCATCCTCCAGGTATGTCGGAGGAGTTAATTAATGCGCTGCAGGATGCAATTCTTGATCTTCAGCTATCACTACAAAAACTTGGTTCTAATCTTGCGATCAGAACTGGAAGGACTGCAGACGTGCTTCTGGACATAGCCAATGAGGTCAGTTCTGTCCAACGTTTCAGCTCATTCTACGTATAAGCAGAGTTGAGTATTTGTTCTTATAGATATTTCGATAGGCGAAGATGTTAAGGTTTCGTAATATATTTTTTCAATTATCTTGAAAAAATACCTCGAACAATTATCTTGGGCCTTCTTTTCCCCATCGTCAATTTCTGCACCTCATCGTATCTTCTCAGGTTGGAGCGTTGGATGTCATCACGGAGGCAGAAATCGAGATGGATTTGGACAAACTAGTTGGTGTCGTCTCGGCTTCTCTGTCTGTGGAGACTATCGCAGGGCAAGACATGACTGTCAAACAGTGGAGAAATTCTCTTTATAATATCCAGGTAGATGAAAAATTTCGTGGAATGCAGTCCGCATGATGCATAAGATCTGGTCCTTGAAAGCTAATTAATCCACATCAATCGTACGATTTCTATCCCGTGTACTTGCATCTCCTCGTGCTCGGGGTCTGAAATACATATTTGTTTGTCTTGTTTTGTAACTAGATCTGAAGAACATTAACATAATTTTTAAAGTTAAGTGAATCTTGTCTTGCTTTTAGGAGCTTGATCCTGTCTAACGATCTGTGTAACTTTTCCGATATTTCGACTGAAGAATTACGAGGAGCTTCCAGACTGCTACAAGAAGTTTCAAGCGTCCAAGCCTCCTGTGGGTTGCCCTCTGGAGCCCCCTACATCGTTACCTCCGTTTCCAAGAAATTTAGAAGCAGGTATTAAGAGAGGAGTTGTCTGCATCATTCAGTATCAGCGGTGAACCAGTATTCTCTGTAAAGGTTTTTTTTCTGTGCACAATTTAACAAGAATTTCTCCGATAATTTAAAGCCCGGCTGTCGTACGCAATTCACATTCACTAGTATTAGCATTTTTGTATTTGCTTTCTATCTTTCTTCGTGACCGTTAACTTTGACCTTCGAAGATGGCGACTCTCATACCCGGCAGATTTAGATAAGCTTTCTCAAATTAGCGGTGCTAAGATCCCGGAGATCTCCACGTAAGGGCTGTTCGAGTCAAAGTAGGACAACAACAGATTTCACTGTGTTTTCCGATTTTGTCTATAGCATCCCTCAGCCAGGGCGAGGGGTCTATGCCCGGCGGGCTATGACAGGCAAATAATTATGCATACATTTTGAATGAAACAGGATGTGGGCCGCCCTCAAAGGAGTTACAAATTACATGGACGTCAGCTGCATCGAAAACCGTAAATTGGGAAAGTTTCAAAGGCGCTCAAAGAATATCTGCAGAGACAGCCCTTGGGGACCAGAGCAATTCCAGACGCAGTTTGTCCAATGGTGCAGTAGCGGAAAATCCATCCGGTGGAATGTTCAAAGAGCTGATTGCTTGGCGAGAAAAGTACATACTTGCAAGCCCTTATGAAGCCATTGAGAAGAAGCGGCGAGAATTGACCGGTGAAGCTGAGGTTAATGACCAAGAGGGTTATGTTGTCAAAGGTGGAGCGACAGGAGCTCTTAACATCCTGCAGGGATACTTGCGGTTTCAAGAACCAACTGGAAGAGATGACTGGCAGGAGTACGTACAGTCGTTCAAGGAAACTCTGGTCTTTTTGTATCATTTCTGGGCTTATTTTATCAAGTTGCCCCAACATGGAGTAAAAGTTATTTCGCTTTGGGGTTTTCTTTTATTTGCAAGAAATGAGGTTTCTCACGTCCTGCACACACTCTACATACAGGGTACACGAGCACGTTATGAGTCTAGAAACGCGACCGGGTGCTTCATTTAGAGCGCTTTTCGGGAATTCGTTAGCGCTTGGTACTCTTTCTTTACGAAGGGTTTATCATGAGGCTATAGAGTACGAAAGGGCAAGAGGTGGTGGGTGGCTGTCTCCTTTTGGTTTTTCATCATTCACAGCTGCAGCAGCCATAAATGACGCTAAGGCAATTGAGGTACATATAACATGTCATCACCGGTTATCATCCTGTATTGTAACCTGACTTTCAACCCATCTACAAGGAGACATGAGATGATTCGTTTGGGCTTGACATCGTGAGATTGTTTTTTTCTCAGTGGTATCAACTTTTGGCACACCAGAGTCGGGAACAAGGAAGGCAGAAAGGTTTTCAGGTCGGAACTTGGCGGTGGAGAGGCTACCTAGTCCAAGTAAGCCGCTCAATTATCTTTACTAGCTCGATCATCCATACTTGGCCAGTGTTTTTCATGTTCTGCTTGTTTGCTGGAGTTCCTTAACCTTCACAACTTCTCCTAGTGCACAGTAAGACCAAATTTTGCAGCTTGACCGCCTAAAACAGTTTAAGTCGTTCTAGCTGGACAGATAGTTCTATTCAATCGCAACTATGTCAGAGTATACCCAGCGCACTTCGTCCTCGAGAGCTTCTGACAGTGTTTACGTGTGTCCCATGCGTTTCCTAGTATGCGGTTGTAGGAGAAATGGGACCTCCCGTGGTCTTTGTACATGGGTTTGGAGCTTTTTGGGAACATTTCAGAGACAACATGAAAGGTGTAGCCGAAGCTGGAAACCGAGTTTGGGGCTTGACAATGCTTGGTTTTGGAAGATCTGAGAAACCCATGATAACCTACACGGATTTAGTGTGGGGTGAACTTGTAAGAGATTTTATCATCGAGGTGGTTAAGGAGCCTGTTATTCTTGGTGGCAATTCTATCGGAGGTATTATATTCTACTTTTCCTAGTTTGTGCAAGTAGTTGTCGTGCATATCTTCGTCAACCTTCCTTTGGCCGGGACTGAACATTCGACATGATAAAAAGCATTGACCTCTATAGTCAACAAAACCGTCTATTTCCTGCATGATTGTTGGCTCCGGGCTATTAAACCTTCCTTTGGCCAGGGTCGAACGTTTGATATGCACAAAAGCATTGACGTCTATTGTTGACAGAGCCTCGTATTTCCTCCATGTCTACTGCCTCCTAGCCAATCAATTTGCAAAATCAGGCGAATTTGCATTTGGAAGCTTACTTCACGTGCAAACTGACTGCAGGTTATACCGCCAGTGTGGTAGCTGGACTCTGGCCTTCCCTTGTTCAGTCCCTGGTCCTCTTCAACAGCGCGGGAAGAGTTGTTCCTGATTACCAATCTCTCGAGTACCGCAAGGTGTTTTAACTGAGTGTCCTTTTTTTACTCAATTTCTACTCAAAATCATTTTATTGCAAAGGAAACATTTTTCGGGCCAACTATCTGGACTTCATCTCCAGCTCATTATTATGCCAATCGTTTAATCTTTTTGTGTTTTCTCACTTGGTGCAGCCCAAGGAAAAGTCTTATGTGGCATACATCGGTTCCCGGTTGCTTCTTGCATACCTACAAAACTTAAGCAATGGAATGCTTACCAAGTGCTATCCTACGGTAAGTGAGTTGCCACTTCAACCATTTGTACAGGAATATTGAAAAATACCGATATGTGAGTCCTGTCATCAATAAAAGCTGCCGGGTTGATGACAGGACTCACAGATATAAAGTTCTGTTCTGAGTACACCATTAAGTGCTTTTCTTTCTTCAGTTTCCGTATGTTCTTATCGCAGATATTCAACTCTTCCACTTGTGATTTTATTCTCCGAGCAAGCTAGTGTTTCTACATGATGAGATATTTCTGCCGCTGTGTATCTTACCCACATATATTCATCTCATTACGAATCTTCTTTCATTATATTTTCCAGAACCCAGGGAGAGCAGACAACTGGCTTCAAAACGAAGTGATGAGAGCCGTATCCGTGCTCCATTTTTGTCTCTTTGAGTTAATTTTTTCCTTGTTAGTATTGCCTTATAACTTTATCGATTCTGAATGTCGGTTTCTTAACGATTTGAAAGTCATACGATCCAAATTCAACAGCAGTTCTGGAGGCTATGTTCCACTTGCGAGCCCCGCTGCCCTTGAACTACTATCTAGATCGATATGACGGCAACGTTCTGGTTATCCAGGTTAGCATCCAAGTTGGCTGAATTATGTCAGGTTTGTAGAAAAGGTAGCATGTCTTTGTTGGGGTTGATCTTAGAAGCACGTGCGTATGTTCTACGTAATTTTAAATCTTTCTTTTGAGTCCAGGGTATGCGAGATCCTCTGCATAACTCATCTCTACGAGCGAGCATGCTTCAAGCGTATTGCAAGAATGTTTCAATACAATACGTGAACGCAGGTATGCCTTCAATTCTCTCTTATTTACCGTGTACAATCTATAAGAACTGTGATGGTCTCATCAACGGATTGCGTCATTGATTCGAGTGAAATTTGAACTGCTGTGCTATCAGGACACTGCCCTCATGATGAGGTACCGGAGGAAGTAAACTCGATTCTTGTCTCTTGGCTGAAAAGCTCTTTCTCTATACCACAAGCTGATGCAGCTGAAGAAAGAGAGATGAACAAAGTGTGGTTGCCGGACTCTCAGGAAGCTGCAGATCTTGATGAGGAGCTGGAGCAACAGAGGAACCAATTATCCGCTGATCCTGTGACTCGTCTAAAAGAAGAAATGGAGGAACTTGTGTAAAATTACAGGACATTTGTATGCTCATGGTGGAATGCAGACCATTATCACAAAGCTCGCATAGTTGGTGTTCAGCCGTGCTGCGGTTGACGGAACACAGCGAGTTTACCAAGTTTCGACTGTTGTAACATAAGTCCAGCGCAATGTGGCCACCTCGTTCTTGAAGTGCAACTGACAACCAACTCAACAATCTCAAGAAATTATCAACCTGAACTTGGTTGTGAAGCGTTCGTGCCCTAAGGCCCTGTGTAACATATAGTTATACCAACTCACGCCAAGTGACCTGTTGTGTACAAACTTCGGTCAAGAATATTTGATTGTCGAATTTAGATAGAGTTTCTCGGGTACGATTAATCACCGGAGAACTTTCGAGGTCCAAAGAATGCTCTTTCTAGGAAGACGTGCGATTTATGACATGTGAGAGGGCAAGTCAAGTCATTTTTTAGTATACACAGCACAAGGAGCTCCATAGAAGAGCTACCCTCTCCAGCTTGTATCGGCACTTAATACAACTCTGCTCGACGACATTTAAACCTGTCAAGTACGGAGAACAATACATATTTACCAAAAATCTGTATACTCTCGCTGCCTTCTGTGAGAACAAGACTTACTGTCAGACCTCAGTTTTTTTTAACAGATTAGCGCCGCGTTCAAGTTGTAATCTCGACTTTCCCTTTTGCCTGAATGTAGAAGATGCTCTTTCGGCAGAAAGGAATCATGTGATTCTTTATGTCTTGTATACAAGTGTGCAGTGCAGGCCTTGCAGAGCCTGTGAATGGACTTTGCAAGCGTTTTCTCGCGTTGTGGTACTATGTTACATGAAGTACTTATGCTCGTGGAGGTACTGTAATGTCTTTTTTCAACTTACGCCTCCGCATCAATGGCTGGAAATTCGGCCTAGCCAGGCGGAACATGACCACAGTCGCACGCATTCCTCGCGCCGCATGTGGTTATGCCGTGGTAGTGCCTATTCTAAACCAACATACGCTTGATGTGCAGGCATTGGCTGAGACGGCCAGGGATAGAAGGAGGAGGCCTTGGTCCGGAATAGATCTGGCCAAACTGCGGTGTCCGTTGTGAATTGGACTGATAAGATAACAGTCCCGGCATATAGAAGCGGCCCGAGATCTTTGCCATCACTTGGCACCTTTTACATCTCGGTGTCGTGCTGTAGGAGGCCTCCAATCTCGATGGCTCGGTCGACAACAAGACGCAAGCACGATGATGTCCCTGGGTGCCCGCCCCTTCGCCGAGAGAGGGGCAATGGAAAGGCAGAGACGTCTCGAGTCTACACCATCAAGGAACTCGGCCGAGCCGTCCTCGAGGTATCGTTGTCCACAGATAAAATCCTTGAAATCATTGCCCGACAAGAGGAAAGCGCGTATGAATCTAGACTATCATCCACGAGCTCTGTTCTAGCAGTAGAACGCTAGTTTCTAGGAGCCGAGGGCGTATGTCATTTGAGGTCAGGGTAGTTGGAGAGACAGTCCAGTTCGGACACTAGAACTAGCGACTAGGCAAATCGAGTGCGAAGAATTTAAGGCAAAGGCAGCGAGGGGAGCACGCCAAGAGACGCCTGGAGATGACAACATTGCTCGCAACGAGCAGAGGGCCCAGCAAGCATCTTCTCAACCCAATCCAGAAGAAGCATGCAAAAAAAGGGTCCTTTGCTGATGAAGAGCGGTTGCCGAGCACCGAACAGAGAGATCTGCTGATGAACGACGAGGCTACAGACTCGCCATCTTATCAGAAAGGTCGCCCCTCCAGATACCGAATCTAAGGCCACAAAGTTATCCGAATGAAGAGCACCATCGGGATATCTTCGCCCCCAATCCCCAGACACAAGCAGAGGGAGGGCTGGGAGCACGAGCACGAGCCAGCAGCAGCACGAACAAGAGACAGAGAAGGCAAGACGAACTCGAGACACCCAAAAAAATCGGTCAAAGAACAAGGGGTTGCATGCCCTCAACTGTCCACGAGCAAATCACGAAGCCACCGCACCAGATCACATCTCCACGAGAGCGAGACCAGGATACTCCCAAGTGGACCTTTCTGCGTCCTGGATGACAAGACGTCAGCCGGCAATGATGAATGTATCCAAATCCACAAGCCCCGCAAAGCAGACACAGCCGCACCAGCACCAGAAGGTTGCAGGTCACAGACAAAGAAGATCAGAGCCGGGCTGATCAGAGTACAGAACAACGGCGGAACAAACAAACGAGCAGGATAGGCAAAGAGATAGATCCAGACGCATAGACGTGATTGCTAGCTACTCTAGAGTTCGACCAAAGGGTCGAGGGTTCGAGCGAATGCGAGCGAGAGAGAAAAGATTTTTACGAGCTCTTCTTGTTTCGCTGGGAGATCAGATTTCCGCAGTCTGACTTCCTCTAACGACCTCGATCTGCGGGCTCGACTCTGTTCGGTGGCGAAGTAGCTGCCGGCAGTGGTGGACACAACCCTCTCCCATGTTCCGTCTTAACCGAAACTTTTCAGATTGGGCGGTCAGCCACTCTCTCCCCATGCTCGAAATCATTCCTCGCCCCCGTCTCTCTACTGTAACCGCAATCAATCATTTGTGCGATACCCTCTTCTGACGCGATCTCAAGCTTTCCCCCCATACGGTTACTGCCCTGACCATTGTACCTTATTCCGCTATACGCATTCCCTCCCACAAGTTGGTTCTCAAAAGGTAAGCGACTCTTGCATTCTCTACTACAATTAATCTTTTGAAAGTCCTCATGAAGGAGGATTATAGCACTCTTTTGCGTGTCCTTTTGAGTTCTCTGGATCTGAAGAATAATGTATATTGGAAAGCGAGATATTTAGCTTCAAGCTGGAGAATGGCTGAGAGAGAATCAATACCACTCATGTGGTGTTGTATTTACGTCAACCGTTGTCATGCATTATCAATGTACTTAAAATTTTAGGTCTTGTAATTATGCAACATGGATTTGCAACTTCACATAAGCTAATAAAACCAGTCCACACGGAACTTTATTTATTCTAAATTTTGAAAATTGCTCTGTGGTTGAAATCATATTTCTAACAATTCATTCATGAATTTTGCATCAAAGTGAATAATTGTACTTCTTCTATTGTTTGAACTATTATTTCTTTAAATTTTGGACTGTCCTAAATCTTGTGTTATATACATTTAGTTTCACTAGAAACTAGTATTATGACAGTATGTTTGAATTCACTCATTTTCTTAATCTAAATTCAAATATTACGATTATACAATAACAAAAGGATTATTGCTCAAATTTCACTCTATATGAAATTTCACTATATAAATTTCATAATCTAAAAAGTTTTTTTTTCATAAGAAACAAGTATTGAGTAGCATGTGGATGTTTGTTTATGCCGATGACGGGAAAGAACAAACTTTGATTGACCCGCTAGTGGATGCAAAGTATATGTGGTAGGAAGTCGTCGCGAGTCTAAACTCTAAGAATAGCTTTTACTTTTAAGATTGATCTGCCACGAAGTAGTTTCAATGTCACATCCTCGCATGTGTAACATTGTTACTACTTGGACGACGTAGATTCAACTTTTTGAAAATTGAGTATCCTTGCAAAACTTCTTCGCTTGTACAAATGAATTGTAACCAAATTGTAGCCTCATAAAATTTGGTCAAAATTCATTCCTACGAGTGATAAAGTCCATGTGCTTTGTGTTATATCTTGAACTCATATTAGAGAAAGACTTAGGCACAAAGACCTTAAGGAAAGGGGAGAACACGTAGTTATGTTAATGGGTCTCAACACATGGGCTCCAAACATCGTGAGACTATCTTCTCCTCGCTAGGTATACGATTCATTTCTGTCACATAATTGAACTATGAAAAACTCAAGCTTTAATTTCAGTATTCACCCCGGTCTAATAGGACTAAACCCTAAATCCTAAGAACTTGCAATTTTGACACTTGGCTATCTTTTGAACTAGCAAATGGTTTAAGCTCCAAAGATGGAGGTGATGTCATTTGCCAGTTCTAAGGCATTTGATATTTAGCATACTTAGATTATTTTCACATATCATTGCAAAGAAGTCTTTACTCCACAACGACATGGAGGTAGTCACTCGTACCATACATGAGTTAGTCATTCATAACCAAATATAACTATGAGAATCGACAGCAAAATACTCAATTTTTAAAAAATTCATGACTTTGAATCCCAATTTTTTCTCACGCACAAGAATTATGTTAATTGCTCTGCTACTCATAGAGTGTTTCCAAGAAACAAAAATTGGACTCAATGTTTCTTGATGCTCGAGAAACATCGAGCTCGATTTGTGCTCGAGCGGTACATCAACGTCCGCGTCCTTTCCGAGTTCTAAGCTGCACGAGTTTTGAATTTCAAATTCAAAAGGCTCTGGCTATTGTATACAGTTGCGGGTCGCACCTCTATACAAGAGCACCTTTGCACCTCCTTGTGTGTAAAATTTTACACACATTGAGACTTTGACATAACTTTGATCAAACTTAAGTTTCTTACATTTGAGTTGAATTAAGTGATAAAATTAGCTTCGAGTATTGAATGATGTTTTGCGCTAGGAGATTCTAAACATAATTATAAACATGAAATTAACAAAAAGAAGTAGCTAATTAGTTAAGTCTTAGACTTGTATGATTAACTGTATAATACCCAAGATAATAAATTTTTGGTTCAAACGGTAAAGATTACTTTTCTTCCAAGAAACATGCTTTTGTCTTCGCCAACAACATTAACTTAGAATCTAGGGTTTTCAAAGTAAGATGCACTACCTATCCACTCAAAAATCCAAATCGAGTATATCTTTTACTCCAACATCTTACAAATTACAATGATCACACAAGAAGTCAATATACCGTTTCTACGAACATAGAATTATATTTCTTGCCTTCCCCGGAAGGAAATATATTCTTATTTTCTTTGAAACAAAATGGTGCAGACACTAGTCATTGCAGAATTTTGACAAAAGGTTTTAACATCACGATTCAGAGTAACTTAGCAGAAGCATGGACGCAATTTAGAGGTTGCGCGAGCTTATCTTTTGCGACTCATCCTTGCCACGTAAGTGATGGAGTAGTTCCTTGTTTCATCTTGTTACAGTGATGCCAAGACAGAATTTGTGACACGCTGCTCATACAAGGGTGCAGGTGCTATGCACCGTTGGGAATCGTATATAATGTACTATTGCAAGTATGGTATTCCAAAAAGAGGCAAGAAGAGGATGCTTAGCTCGAATTTCGTTCAAGATCCATCAACAAAGAAAAAGTTTGGTCCATGCAACAAAGATACATTAGATTATGATTCTCACCACAAGGGTTGTCAGTGCAGGTTTAGTGTCATTAAACTGCAACCTAATGATCACATTCCACCAGGGATCACGAAGTTGCTATACGAGTCCAGTAACAAGGATTGTAAGCCCAATAATGATCATTAGACCGAGATGGATAATCTTTACAGTTTAGGCTTTTAATCTTAAACTCTAAACAATTTTTTTTGTGTTTTCATGGCTTTGTATAACCCTTTTATGTTGATCCGCAAATCAATGAAAATGTTATAATGTAAGAATTAATCAGGCCTTCACACATTCTTAACTCTGACGAGTACTCTTATAGTATACATAAATATTTGAAATCTACTTCACAAAGCTTTTATCATGTAATCACAATAATAGATAAATTTTCCTCATATTTTACATATTAAACTTCAGTTATCTTCATTTCTTGAAAAGCATAAGGCGCCGCAAACAACGCCTTATTCTTTGCAGTCGCCACCACAAGCAAATTTCAAAAGAATGTTTTGGCATCCATATCTCTCCAAAAGTAGAATTCTTAATATCTCTACACATTGATTGAGTATGTGTGTCATGAATCTTATCAATCGTTAATATATCTCATAAAAGTACTTGTCATGCAAATTGCAAAAATAAAGTTTTGCAATGGTATCACTCCGAATGTACAATCTTTCATATTGCTATTCAAGATTTTATACGTGTTCAATCATATGTTTCCATCATTAATATATCTCATAAAAGTATTTGAATTGATCGGTGAATATAAACTAAAAATTGTTGATGTTGTGCAACAACCTTAGTATTAGATAGTGTTTAGAGTTGCTTAAGGATTAGGGTTTTTGGCTATTGCTTCAACAATTGAAAAGACCCTCTAGAGCTATAGTTTGCTCCTCACTAATACTAATGTGTTTTGATAATATTTAAACGAGCATGTCTTCAAAGCTCAGCATTCCTTGTATTCATTTTCATTGTGGAATCATCATAATATGAGAGCAAAACTCATTTTAGATTTAAGCCTTTGAGCTTCGTGCGTGAGTTCAATTCCACAGATCTACAATTTTTTTTCTTGATCGTTAGAAACTATGAGCATTGCTCTAGTATTTGTACTCAAATCTTTTGCATCTAGTTGTGTAGCGTAGCTCTAATTTTTATTTCTCCTTTCATTTACAAACAACCTTGCCTATGTCAGCATTCAATGCTTTATTGCCAGACTCCAACAAGCTTGTGAGGTTTATCAACGATCACAATTGGAAGATTCGGGTGACTAGTCATCTAAAGAAGAAGCGTATATGGTATGTTGTTGCTCTTTTAGTAGCATCATCTCTTTGGCTGTCTTCACTCGTGATACTTCAATCAATGGACAACGTATCATCTATATGTGTTGTGACGATGAATGAAAGAAAAGTTATTGCAGCTCCAACTTTTAGAAGCTCAATAGGAGAGCCTGAAACTACAGTGAACGATTCTCATCTATTTTATCGTCATGATAAGACAATGTGAATCCTCATTGTATTGAATAAAGCTGACTTGGTAACCGGGATAAATGATTTTGAAGATACAAGAGACGTTTGGAATCACTTGCAAAAGTAGTACGAGTTACTTGATGTTACAAGAAAACAATATCTCAAGAGTCGGTTCATGAATCTTAAAGTCACAGAAGATGGTGGCATTGAACAATATCGTTGTGAGTTTATGAGAGACCGCTCCTTTTATATTATGACATTTGTCGATGACTATTCATCCAAAGTCTTTTTGTATTTTCTTTGACGTAAGAATGAAGCTTTTTCTAGATTTGTAGAATTTCATAAGGAAATAGAAAAACAAATATGACAAACTATCAAAATCTTATGTTTGGACCATGAAGGTATACATGTTAAGTGAATTTATACAAAAGTGCAAAGATGATGGTATTGTCAGACAGTATATTCAAGCGATAACACCTCAACAAAATGGAATGTCTGAGCGTATGAATAGATCTTTTCTTGATAAAGTTAGTTGTATGATGCTAGATTATGAAGCTACTAATTTTTTACAGATTGAAGCAATAAGTGCAGCAACTTATTTGTTAAATAGATGTTCAATGTGCACAAATGGATGTGACGCCTGAGCAAAAATTAAGTATAGTTAAGCCGGATCTATCACGCTTAAGAGTGTTTGGATGCACATACCCAAGGAAGAACAAGTATTACTGGATGCGCAAGCAGCCTAAGGAGTTTTTGTAAGTTATGATCAACATTCCAAAGCTTCTAGATGTCAAATTCAAAGATGTAAGAAAACTATAATCACACGCTATCGTGGAATTTATTTGAGTCTTGAGACTACAATGTGATTAGTGTTTTGTGTGAGTATCAAAGTCCTGCATTGGGCTTCAAAACTTTACCCCTATCCAACTCACAATCAAACGAGGGTCAACTATACCCATTCATTACTCATCCATGGCATATGTCCATACCCATTACCCTTCCATGGCATCTTGTTCAAACCAACTCATATCCATGAATCTATCGCCAAAATAAAATTACTTAAGAGCACTTGATGTTCACTTAGACTATTTGGCAGTTTTATGACAAGTAATAGCTTATCAGCACAGTGTGCTAATTAGCTATCAGTGTGACACAATGCGAGAGCTCTGTCAAGTCATTTAAGTCATTCGTTTTAAACACGATATCAATCATACTCCTTCATTACCGACCAAT